CAGATTGAAATCTAAATGGCTACATTACAGCATCTCATATTCTTCAGTTTTAGCAGGACTAGCTGTTTTCTAATGAATGATTTTTCCTCCTAACAGCAAAGAAATGAATCCTGTGGGAACACACCTATGAAAGGACATGGATGGAACCCTGCACTGTCATATGATTCAACATGTTTGAAAACAGTGTCCTGATGGTCTATGGTCTAGCCAGTTTGGACAGACTCTGTGAAGCTGCAACATCTATATTTGCAAGTTTTCTGGGCTTTGGACACACTTGTGGTACTGGTTGCACAGTTGTTTCTTCTTCCACTCATTCATTATCATACTTGTGCCCTGAATTCTGACACAGACTGTCTCTTTTCCTCTTTGTCTCACTCTAGTACTTAATTTTCCTCAATCTTGCAACAGTGCAAATCAGAAATCAGGTATCCCAGACACCTCCTCCAATCCTCTGTGCTTCTGAGAGACCAGTCTGTGCACCACCAGTATCTCCTGGCCTCAGCTCATGCCTTCTCTGCAGACCCTTCCATGCAAGGAGCTGATGATGCTTTTTGCTCACGTCTGTACCAGGAAGAGGTTGAGATTCCCACCAGCTATTTCAAGTAACACAGGCTAATGACCAGATGTTCAATGGTACTGACCATTCCCTGAACCTACACAAAGCCCCAAGAATGCGTGTTAGTCCAGGATGAAAAATTTGAGGTCACTTTAATTCTAGACGTCCTGAACATGGCAGGTGCCAACACACTGAAGACATTACCTTACATGAGCACGAAATCCAGAAATGCACCTGCAGGGGTGGATCTCACTGGTCAGGCACAGGAGGCTGGTGAGCTGTGAGGCAAGGCACCAGCTCCAGGGCCCTGCTCCTAGTCAGTCTTACCCTGACCTCTAGATTGGCTTCAGATGTGAAGGATGAACCTTACTTTCAGAAGTGTTATCATTAATTGTGATGACTCTAGGTATTCATAATAATCACATGGCTTTATAATACTTCATTAAACTTTAGCTCTTTTTTGTCCTGCAGCAGGGAGCTCCACAGCCCAGTTACATCTCACATAGAAATGCATGTCTTAATATCCATTTTAAGTTATCTTCCCTTCCAATTTTCTTGAAGGTCTTCATGTTCTCACATTAAGGAGCTGGTGTCCCAAAACTCTAACAGGAAATTTGGTGGGAAGAATAGTCTTCATCCAAGCATTTCTATTGAATACTGAGCTAAGTCCAAGCTACTAGCCTGCAGGTAAGAGTCTACAATCTGTTCTCTCTGATTCTTCATAGCCAACTAAATCTACCACTACTGACTTTTCAAATCTCCATCTTTCCAGCATCTTTCCCCAAAAAGAGAAAAAGAAACGTAGACTGAAAATGATAGGTAAGAAAAGATGTGCACACACTCTAAGTGACAATATAACAAGCAAACCTTAAAACACATGGCTTTCCAAATTATCTGTTTCATTTAAGAATGGTTTTCTATTTATTTTCAGCACAGCTGAAAGCACCACTTCTGAGACCCTAAACTCCACAGCATTGCTAACTCCTTGTGACGTGGGCTAACAGTCCCTAATGCAAAGGGACTTTTCACCCAGTGATCCATGACTTTTACCATGGTAATTCCCAATGACATGCTTTCATCTTGGAACCATACCAAATATGTAAAACATTTGTCAGAGAGGAGCTCATCTTAGTTTCTTTCTCTTGCAGAACATTGTCAGAGATCCAGGAAAGCAGACAAAATTCTACAAACACTAAGCATTAACCAAAACAGAAGAAAATACCCCAGCATTTTTCTTCCTTACTTTCTCCCCAGAGCTTTGCTGCTCAATCCAGGGTCTCAGAATTTGCTGACACAATGGTGCAGGGCGTTCAGTCATTGAAACCTTTGAAAATGCCAAGCAAGTCCTTGAAAGGAAATGCCATTGCCAAGAGCTGAGTTCAGTCCCTCATCTTCAACAATGTTTAGCTCTCATTTTCAATGAAAGCAGCTGCCTTTTTCAACTGTCAGACCTGAGCAGAGTTTGCTCTTCATGCCCTCAAAACATGAGCCCAGATGCTGTGATGCCCCGGTCATCAGATCCACTCTTTTCTTGCCCACATCCCTGGTTTCTCTGGGCTAACACACAAGGATCAGAACAGTTTCATAATAATGAGTTTTCCTCCTTCCTACGGTCCTCAGCACATTTTTATTTTAAATGAAAGAATCAGCTTACCTATAAGAGCCACCAACCAACATGAGGAGCTTAAGATAGAAGCAAATCAGTAGCCTGAAGTATCATGCATGTTGGGCAATCATAAATTTAAAGCAAAAATCCCTACCAATTTTATTTTGCATTAGATACTAAGTAAAACCTACTTGCGAAGCCAGATTACTAAAAAACCTTTTTGGCTGTTGTTTTAGTTGGGATTTTTTTACATCAAAACAGGATTAAAACATCTTTTGGAGACTCACTGTCATTTTATCTGAGTAAATAAGCTTAGAGCGCCTAACAGTCAATTTATAATGAAGGCTTTTGTTCTTGTTACTGTGATGCAGCCCTGTAAATTTGCCCACAGCTGCAGCAAATTCAGATGGTTTTGACAGGTAAATAAAATACTATTTAGATCTGTCATTGTTATTAATTTGCAGAGTAAAGAAATAGCAATTATATTTTGTTTCCAAGCAGATAAATTTTCATCATGATCTTGGCAGGGGTGGTATAGAATTATGTGCATCTATGACTTTTACAGTTGTGAGGGTCCAAAATATGAAGAGTCTTTGGTCAACTCTTGAGCTGTAAAAAAAATGGGAAATAAAGGCTAAACCAGTAATAAACACCATAACAAAAAGGAACAAGGAATGTGGGATTTAGCCCTGTTGGAGTTTTATTGACATAAACACCAAATAAACCAAACTGCAGGTCTTGACATCAGCTGCACCAATTCAGTGCTCAGTTATTCTGAGCTGTACTTCCAGGAAGCTGTGTCAGGATCTGGCTGTGCTTTAAAACCCCACAGTTTGGGCCTCCATAATGACTTGTGCTTTCCAGCTGCTGCAGGGGCAAAAGGTTTCAAATACTTCTCAAGCAATGCTGGTGAACAAAAAATTATTTGTGGAATAAGGTGCTGCTCAAGGATGAGTAGCAAAATACAGCTGCAAATATGTTATTGTATTGGTCAGAAACTGTGAATCAAAAAAGAGAAATCCTGCTGAAAACCCTATGAGATGCCAGTCATATCTGCTCAGCTCCTCACTCAGGTAGGCTGGCAGATGGTCAGCAAACAGTCTCACTTTTACAATGCAACCTACACTGGTTTTCAGAGTGAAAATTAGGATCAATTATTTTCAAGAATTAATGTCCTCCAAGGAAGCAAGCTACCTTTTAATTCTGCTTAGCCTCTATTTGCTCTGACACGTAAGCCAATCTTGCAGGTGCCTACGTCTTGTGTACACAGGCAGAATGGCAAGCCAGGGAAGAGTACTAGAAATGTGGAATAATGCAAATTCCCAGGAAGCAAATTGCATAGCTTTCAACTTTTAGAAGAGATGGGAACAAGACAAGCAAGAGAAGAAGATGTACAGTATCTCCAAAAAAGGATTATTTCTTCCACTCCCATCTGAAACCCTATGACTGAACACTGTGTTTCACAGCTATCTACCAGCTGCATAAACCATCGGAGAAGGCTACAGTCCATTGAGCACTGAGCTGTGACCTGTGGAACCCTTGGTATGACACACCCCGCAGGACTGTGGATATTGGGATCGGTTGGCGGCAGACCCTGTTTCTCCCAAGCAAGAATGGAAGCCCATTCCCCACTTTCCAGCATCCATCACCACCAACCTCAAACCGACATAAGGGAAGGCACAATCACTGCATTACAGATGTAGGCAACTTTGGGAAAGGCAGGACGTGTGCCAGAGCATGGCCACTTTCAAATGAGAACTGGCTTTCTCCTCAGCAGAGCACACAGGTCCATGAAAGGGAAAGAACATCTGGGGTAAAACCCATTGTGCATAAGATTTCAACGTATCACCTTATATGCCAGAATCTGTGCCCAAAATGGAAACAGTCAGGTTGAACTTTGCAACCCTTTTTCATACAAGGATCCCCTATTACGACAAGTAATGGAATTATCCTGAGTAATAATGGTTATCTGCACACATGGGCTTGATCCCACAAGCACAGGTCTGCAGCCTTCCTTGCACCTGCAAGCTGTGTTATGTTAGGTACAAATGTTGCTGGGTACATCACTGTAAGGAAGCTGCCAGCCTGAAAATACATTAGATGCTTTTAATTGTCATTAACTATGGAGCATAATGCTCCAGGGTGGCATCTTATATTCTAGCATAGTTGCTTTTGTTTCATTCTCCTGTGTGGTGGAGGGAAACTTCACTGGCCTAACCTCAGTCTGTACCACAGAGCATCTCAAGGCTGCAGTTTCAGCAGGTACAATCGTAGCCAGCCGTGTTTCTCCTGCAGATTGTGCAACTGGGAGCACGGGAGCAGTGGAGCACCTGCACAGTTCCTATTAGCCATCCCCTGGGAAACACCAAAGTGGGGTTGTCTTGTGCCACGTGTTTTGTACAGACTGAAGCTGTATTTTTAAAAGCAAAGAGCACATTAAACTCCTCCTTTGCATCACTTTTGGAATCATTGCGACTGGGTACCCACAAAGCACGGAACAGCCTCCCTTGCTCCATGAAGGTGCCAGCACGTCCCTCCTCCATGCCACGGCTGCACGGCTCTCAGGCTGGGCATGAGTGCCCGGGGCAAGGCTGCCGGGAAGCAGAAAATGACGGAGCACGCCTCCACCCCACACCTCCCTGGGAAACTCCACCGAGGTGCGAAATCTGGAGCCCGAGGCCTGGGCAGAAGGCAGAGCCCCTCTGGGTTTGGGGTGCTGTTCCGGCCAACAGGGACAGCCCCTCAAGCAGCAGGCCCCGGGTCCCTCAGGCCGGAGCATCGCTGCCACCGGGCCCGTCGCGGGCCTCACCCCGGCGCCCACCGCCCGCGGCCGCTCACCTGCTCGGGCCCCTGGAAGCAGATCCTGCAGAGCGGGGTGCGGATGCCGCTGTCGACACTGCTGCCCAGCGAGTAGCGGTCCTCGGCCTTGCCCTTGCCGAAGTCATCCGAGGAGGTGCTGCTGGGCAGCGAGGCGGGCGGCTCCCCGGCGGGGCTGCCCCACTCCTCGGCCGCCTCTGCGCCGCCGGGCATGGGGAGCGGCGGCGGCGGGGAGGGCGGCGGCGGCGCGGGGGGTCTCCGCAGCAGGAAGACCTTCAGGTCATTGAAGAGCATGCGGCAGCGGCACTTGAGGAGGCCTTGGTTTCGCAACATCTGTCTCGGACGGAGGAGCCCGCAGCAGCAGTAGCAGAAAATGCCCGCGCCGGGTGGTATTAACATGTGCCTTTCCTTGGCAGGCGGGCACGGGGGAAAGAAAAGGGCAGGAGCCGGGCGCCCCGCGGCCGGGGGGCTCCGCGGCGGCCGCAGTGCCGGGGGGGCTGCGCTGGCCGCCGGGGAACGCTCAAAAGCAGAGCCGGAGGGCGAGGGGGCGAAGTCCCCGGCAGCCCGCTGCAACCCGGCGGGGACGGCAATTGGAAAAAAAATCCACGCCAGGAAAAAAAGCGACTCTGTGCTGCCGAGGGATCCTTTCCCCCCTCCACAAGTTTGCTTAGAAATCAGCGGGAGGAGGAAATAAATCTCCCACGCCCGAGGGTCCAGGGGCGCAGGCGGCGGTCTCGGGAGAAAGCCCCCGATCAGCTCTCGCAACTCCTAAGCCTGTAAAAAAGAAGGGTCCACGTCTCCGGTGGGTGTGGGGAGGAGAGAGAATATGGTTCTCTCGACAGTATTTGGCATCTCAAGTAATTTTCCTTTTTCTTCTATTTTATAATAATATTTTTTTCAATTAAAAAATAAAACCCTATCACACGAATCCCGGTGTGCATCCAGACAAAATAGCAGCTGGTCTGGCTATCAAAATGCAAAATTGGTAGCTGTTGTTATTATCAAAATTGCCTCTTTGACAAAAAAGACCTTCACATTGTTTGTGGGAAAACACCCTACGTTTTCAACACTGTGCTCCCAGGTGGCTTCAGATTTTACCGTTGCCTTTAAAAGATTTAATTGTAAATATTAAAAGTCCAGAAAGAAATAATTAGCATTCAATGAGCTTAATCCCAGATGTACTGAGATAAATATATTTATATATATATATATAATATATATATCATATATATTTTATATATATTTATATATTCTGACCTTCTCTATTCCAGCAGCTGTCTGGACCACACGCACCAAAAAAAAAAAAAGAAAAAAAAAGAAGAAAAATCAGGGCGAAATTGATGAGGGAAGGCGGCTGTATTATTCCCTAAGCTGTTACCATCCTGGACCAAAAACCCACGTCGAAATCGGATCTATTCTTCGCATGTAATTGACCGGGGAAACGTGGATCTTACATGGTCACGTTTCCTTTCCTCCTTTCGCAAAACAGGAACGTCATCAAACGCATTGGCAGCTTGTACAGACCATTGTGGATGGCGAGGCGGTCAGGGCTCTATCAGCAATTGCAGGGACCTCCTTTTGATGCATTGGACGAGGCTCCTTCTTTCTCTCCTCCACCGTCCCCACCTTCATTTTCCTCCTCTTCTGTCCTCCTCCTGCTCTCACTGTTGCTCTCTCTCACAGGCATTGACATTCAACCATCGCAAGTCTGTCGCACTCTCGCTGGCAGGGGAAAAAAATCGGAGCAGATAATTCTCTTCTTCCTCCTAAAAGGCTCGGATGGAGCACAATGCGCCAGACACATGGGGCAGCATGGCTTATTTTTCGTGCGGTTCCTACCGCTTTGGCAACATCGAGCTGGTGTGTGCGTGTGTGCCTTCCTCCCTCAGCAGCAGCCTCCTCTCCGCTCTCCCATCCGGCTTGCCGTGATGATGTTGCTGTTGCTATCTCCCTTGGATGCAATGGGGAAGGCAGATTGTTTGCAGTGCGAGCGGGGATTTGCAGGAAGGGAGGGGTGGGACGTGGCCGCGCTCTTCTTCCTCCCCCAGCTTGAGGAAAAAAAAAATAAAATAAAAAAAGAAGAGCGAGAAAGAAGAAGCAAAAAGGCGGGGTGAGAGGGGGAGAATCAAAGCGAGGAATGGAGCCCTTCCCAACCTTTGATGCCCCGAGCTGCCGGCTGCCTGCGAGAGCCCACGCCGGGGAGGAAGGGAGGAGGGGCGGGGAAGGGGCTGGGCGGGCGCTGCGGCTTCAGCACCACGGGGCGCGGACAGCTCCGCCGGGCGGGGCGGCGCGGGCTCCGCCGAGCCCCGCGGCAGCCCCGCCGAGCTCCGCACCGGCCCCGCACCGGCTCCACCGAGCCCCGCACCGGCCCCGCCGAGCCCGGCCCTGCGGGACGCGGCCCCGCCGCCAAGGGGCACCCGGAAGGCGGCGAAGCCTCCGCGCCCCGGCGTGTTCCAGGCGGGTTTCCACCTCCCACCGGCCGCTGTGACACACGGGAACTTCCAGGGGCAGGAGGCAGAGGCCGCGGGTGCGGCGATGTCTCAGGCAGTGGTGCGGGTTTTACAGGTTCCCAGCAGGAAGCTGAAACCCCACCAACAAACTTTTCCCTAGCAGATTAATTTGTTGCAGAGGTTTTCACGGTCTAATAGCTATGATATCATTATTACATTTTACTCCAGCAGCGTTTTTTTGCTGATAGATTTGTTTTGTTTCAGTAGCATGTATTTCAGTAGAAATATGGGTTCCTTGTAGCCCAATGGAGGGTAAATATAACTGAACACTATTGCTTAATTAGAGTTTTGCTGCAAGTAATGAATGAATGCCAAGGCCAATAGTTTTTACTCTCTCAGCCTGTTTGAAAATTTTAAGTAGCAGCTGCTGTTGGCCATTAGCTTTTCTCTGCAATCATCAGCAGAAGTGGCTTTCCCCACCCCATCCTGTTATGTGCGTCCATGCAGGCCCATGCAGCCTCTGAATGCTAGGGGAAACTTAGGTCTCCACTGGACCTTGGTATTTGCCATTGCAGCTGGAACAGCTGACAAAGGTGCTGAGTTTGATGCAGACCAAAAGTATTATTGATACAGTCCATGCAATGTGGCTAATGTCAGTGGAATGTCTCAGCTCAGGGACCAGTGAATACCTGCAAGACGGGACGCACCTCATGGTGCCTGGGTCTGACATCATGTCAGTGCCATTGAAATTTTATTTAGTTTGGTTTCTTTCTTAAATTTCTCCTTGAGGAGGCCATTGCCTGCACCAATGCCCAGTCTGGGTTCTCTAGCTGGTCTTGTGTACAAGGTCTTCATTGGCAGCGACCCAGGCAATACAAATGATAAATAATCTCATGTCTCTTAAAAGTTGTGCTGGACCCTAGACAATGATCTGAAATTGTTTCCCATAGGAAAATACATGATATGCATAAAACACCACATCATGATTAGTAGAGGAATCTATGTTGTTACCTAATTAAAAAGGAGCAGACTGATTATTTGCTACAGGAAAATGAAACCAGCACATGCAATTAATTTCCAGGAAATAAATTACACATTGGGATGCTTTAAAACATTCATCAATGCAGCCTGCCGTTCCTCAGAAAAGCTGGGCAGATTTGCCAGTGTGGCTGTCTACAACATATTAAAGCTCCTCAGAATTTCATATGTGTCTAATGGGGTCATTAGAGAAATAGTAATGGAAAGAGCATTTTAGAGACTTCCTGTGTGTGAGACAGGCTGGCTAGAGGCTGAGTCTCTGTGTCCATGCTCCAGGATGGCTTTCCACCAAAATCCCCAATCCTTTTTATTGCTCCCATCTTCTTGTCTTGATGTCACCAACATTTTCAGAATGGTTCCATCAATAAGAGAATTGGAGAAAAATATATTGTTGTCATCCTTTGCTTGTGTAAAGCATCTTTCATCCTTCCCTCCTGCCCATGCCTGGTTTTACAGAAAGGATATTCTCAGGCTAGATGAGATCTTTGTGTTATACTCTGGTTTTTAATGTATGGGCTGTGTGCCCAGAGAGCTGAATGGCTGATAAATGTGACAAAATAAATAAAACAAATAATAAATCGGAAGTGCTCCATATGCTTCCCAGAGGTGAGTGGGTATTATTTCTGTTTTGGTAAATGGGACAGCTGCCAATGTTTTCACACTTGGATGCTGCATTCAGGCCCTTTGGTACGGATCAAGGTGTCTCACTTAAAATGCTTGCACTGGAAAGAGCTGGCCCAAGACACTTTGGTGAGATCCCAGTTCAAGTCAGGAGTTGTTAGGAGGCCATTTCAGCCTTCCTAATTTTGCTTCACAGGAAGCAATGTGCAGCAAATGATGAGCAGCATTTTCTCTTGGAGAATAACCTGTTTCTGGGAGTTTTGATCCATTGTCTCTTGAGCCCACTAACAGGCAAGAGGTTAACATTGGGAGGGTAACTATGGGAGGCATCACCTCTGGCAGACACTACCTCTGCCCTCCTCAGGTACCCAAAGAGGAAGAAAAAACACATGGCTCAATCAGCTAGGAGTGGATAACTGGCTCCTCTTGGCTGCTTACATCCAAGCTACTGACTAGGAAATTAGACTGGGGAGATGTCCAGGCACCTTGGCAGGCCTGTTTGTTATAGAAGGATTCAGGTGTCAGGCTGCAAGTTGGTCTCAGCAGACACTCTAACACTGGTTATCTAAAGCACAGTGTGGGCCCATTTGCCCTTAGCTACTCCCTCAACAAGGACAAAAAAAGTATTGCTATTCATGTGCCTCCTCGTCACCTCTCTGTACAAGCCATGGCTCAGCGCAGAGGGGGTGGAGGCAGCAAGAAAAAGAGTGGCTAGAGCTGCATCGGTATTTGGTCTGCCTGTGTGGCAGCTTGATATAAAATCATATAAGCAAATTTTCTTTTTTTTTTTTTTATGTTGTTAGTTCAGGGATTTTTTTTTTAATGGCAGACATAGTGAGAGGGCAAATGCAAGCAGGAAAACATTATGTGGACTGCAGCTGAACAGCTTGAACTCAGCACACTGGTCATTGTGCACAAGCATGTCAAAGACAGACAATGTAAATGCTGATGTGGACAGAGAAGATCAGGGAGCCAGAAGGCTGCCAGAGAAACATTCCTTTGTGTTTTCCATCTCTCAGGAAACAGTTACCTAAACCCATTTTCATGCCCACCTACTCGGTCAATAGCTGCACTGCGCCTCCTGCTCCACCTACAGCTCTTTAATGGTGCAGAGTAGCTTTGATTGCTGTGGCATGGGCCCCATCCCTCTGGCAAACCATTACTTAAATCCAATACATTGAAGGTTCCTGCTGCTCTCTCAGTGATGGGGAGCTGCTCATCAGCTGAGTACCCTCTGATTGCTTGTCACAGCCAGACTTCCTAGTTCTTTTTCCCGGACAGAGATATTAAATAAATCTCAAGTGATGTAATTACCATAACTCAGTTGAGGAAGCTTGTGGGCAGATGCAGCCAGGGAGCTCTGTCACTTTTTTTTTTTTTTGGATCTTTCTTTCTGGGCAGTTGTAAGTGTGCTGATGCAAAGGATGTCGCTGCTGGAAAGCTGGGCTGAGCAGGTGGGGGTTATGCATCTTCTAAACATTCAGAAATAATCTATATATTGATTGGAATAATCTTCTCAGAGGAGAACACAAATAATTTCTGGAGTTTTATGCCTTGGTGTATCTGCAGTCTTGAACTGGAGCAAAAGTCATTGCATTCTGCACACAGGGAGTTCCTGTGCTATTGCTTTCTCCCCAGGCAAGGACTGAACTTCCACTTGCTCTATTCCTGCAAAATTCATGGTCCATCTCTGAGTTGATACAGAGCAAATTTTTCTATTTCCATGGCAGCTTGCTCTCTACAAAGGGGAGAGAAAAGGATTGGTTCTTTTTGAAAAATCAGGCATGTCCAGCAAGAGGACCTCAAGCAAAGCAAAGTACAACTGCAGATCTTTTTCCCTGGGTTCAGGAAGAAATCCATGTCTTTGTTTCAGAGTTTTCTCTACCAGCAGGCTTGAGGCCAGTCAATGTGCAGGAGAATGTGGGTGAGAAAATACTACTGCTGATGAGGACAGCCCCCACTTTTTCTTTCTTTAGGCTCTGGATTTAAAATTCAAACTTGCAGTGCCACAGCACTTCTCTTCAGGACTAGACAACTTCAAACATGGAGCTTTCCTGGTAACAAGTCCTACACTACCTCCTACAAAAGGAATTCCTTGTCCCCTTGGATGACTAGTCAGAACTCTGACTGGAACAGAGCAGCTGCAATAGACGGTGTGTTTCAGGATATCTTCAGAAGGCATTCAGCCAAATGCTGAGTGGATTTAACTATCCAGGAATGTAGTAATTGTCATGAAATCCCAAGCCTAAAAGGACCTGAAAATTAGACATTAAAAAATGAAAGTATATAATCAAAAGTCCCTTGGATATTTTCGCTACTCTCCCAAGTCAAGTCAAATTTGTTTCAAGTGTCTAATTAAATTCTCAGACTTATGTTATTTTAGTGACACACAACAGTCCTACAACTAGCTTACACTTGTCTGACGGAAAGAAAAGCCAATGTTGTTAAACAAGCCCATTAGGGGCTGATCCTGAGAGATACCCCATGCTCTCCAAATCCAGATGAACAGATAGGATCTAGCATGTCATCCAGCATTTGCTTAGTTACCAGGATTCATCAGCAGCCACAGTAACACGGAGGATATTCCCCCTAGGACCTCATCTGGCACAACACTGCCATTCCCAAGAAAAAAGCAACAGTTTTGTATGGGCAGATTGATAGTCTGTCCTTAGGAGGATCTGTACCTGGCATAAAGGGGTAGTGCATGGAGACACCACACGAGGATGTCCAGGAGATTAATCCTATGAATCCTGTAAATCCTGTGCTGAGCTAAGTTCCTTCTTGAGCTACAATTCTCCTTCAGTATAATGAATATTTGGATATTTGAGACTGTTTCCCCAAATTCCTACCAATATGTATCTCAGGATTTAACATCTTAGGCTGCCCAGATAGTTTCCCCATCTACAGCAGCTTGTTTCTGGATCAGCAGGCAGATATGCACATGCTGCATAAGTACAGTGCAGGTAATGAAGTTGCTTATGAGCCAGATAATCTGCTTAGCTTCATCAGCAGTAGGTGAGTTTCCATGTTGGCAGAGGCCAAGACCCAAACATGAGAAGACCTTTTTAGGTGACTCCTAAGCAATCTTTGTTGCATAAAATGGG